AACCAATCACTGTGCAGCAGCTCCTCCTCCCAGACTGGGCGAGTCTCCAATCCTGAGTGCCTAGGGCCTCCTCTTGTGTCTAGTCACTTCCCACTTTTCCTCTAGCCAGGCCCCTCTCACGGGTGCCGCTCACCACAATACTGGGTACACGCCAGGTCTGCAGCTCCTGGGAGCCCTGTTTTCATGAATGACTGGGCACACTCTCCCTGTTTGCCCTTCCCTCAGACTCTAAGTTTGTAGAGCTTGGGGCTGAGAATCCTCAGCGAATTTTACTTGCCCTCCGGTAGCCACGCCCCCGGTAGCCACACCCCTGGTAGCTGGTGCAAGAGACCTCAGTTGTCAGCACTGGTGGGAGCAGTAGCCGGGAGTTGTGTCCTGCGCCACTTCTGATTCCCTTGGTCTGGCTATCGCGCTCATGGGAGAGCTGGGAGGGGCCCTTAAGGTTTCCCCGATGTGTGGAGAGGGAAGGCTAGGGGATTACACACCTGTATCCGCAGGTTTCAATGAAGTTATCTCCTCCGCCGCAGTCTGGTGACGTCAGTTCTCTGCCATGGTGGTATCTCTTGCAAATGGCAACAGTTCGTTTCCCTTTGCCGGCTGACCAATGCAACGGATGGGTCCTTACTGTCTCTCCCAAGCCCCGTTTCAAACCTGTGGCCACTACCTATGAAGGCTCAGTTGGCATTTACCTCCGTAGGATCAGAAGGGCTGACCAGTTGTTTCAGCCGGATGGATTAGTGCTGAGTCACACCTGTTTGTCCTGTTGAAAATCTTAAATTTTTTTTTTTTTGTAATTGTAGATATACAAAATGCCTTTATTTTATTTCTTTATTTTTATGTAGTGCCTCATGCATGCTAGGCAAGTGCTCCCCACTGAGCCCCAGCCCCAGACTGTTGAAAACCTTTAAAGTGGAGAAAATTTAAAAAAAAAAATCATTGCACATTCTATCATAATAAAACTACTGGCATATGTTGATTCAACTTGACTGTTCCCTTAGGAAGATTTCCCTGAAGAATTTTTAGGACATGTTTTTATAGTTTAGCATTTCATTTTACTTATATTTGAAGAGTAAATTTTATGGAAATATTTTTTTTGATGGAGGGCAGTGGGGGATTGAACCCAGAGCATTGTGCAATCTGAGCATTCCTCTACCACTGAGCTGTACTTCTAGCCCTGGAAATACTTTTTAAAATCAAAAGTTTACTGATATACTTTAAGATCTCAGTAACCACAGCAATTTTCTGCTATTGTTAATTCTGTATGATTATACAAATCAAGATTTCCCCAAAGTCTGTTCCTAAAAACCCTAGTTCCAAGTACTTTTTCTGAAAAATAAATAAATATATAAGTAAATAAGCGGGGGATGTAGCTCAGGACCTTTAAAATGGAATGAATATCTGCTAATCATCTGCTAATTCCTTTGAGTAATTTATAATCCTCTCACTCTTTCCTCCTGGATCTTACTTGTTTCTCCAAGGTTGTGTCCTAAAAATTCTCTTTTCTACTAATTCCTTAATCTCACCACACAGGCTGTCATTTACCTGCACACAACCCCATATCTAGCTGGTGCTGCCTTGACCCATGCTCTAGTCCCATGCTTTCCAATTTCCTTGCCACTGACTCTATCCTGGCCAGAGGTTATCACTTGCTTCATGCTTCGATTACACCAGAAGCCTCCTGGCTACCTTCTCTGACACAATCTCCTTGTTAGCAGGCCTTGTGGAAACTATCAGACTTCATTCCAGAGAACTTTTCTTAATGTATGATAACTGCCTTTTAGGAATCCAGGATGCCTACTTAAAGTGTGTGGTTGCCAAAGGCACCAGTCCACATCTTTGCAACATCACTTCAAAGATTTCCAGATAGGAAAAAAAAAGAATATATACATATTTCTTGTAATTTATATATATATAACAAAAACTCCTCAATAAGAATATCCTATGTGGTTGAAAATATCATTTTGATAACCCCCTTGAGTTATCAAATGCCCAAAAGATTAATTTATCTAACAAATGATCTCTTTAAGAATCATCTAATGAAGATGTCTCAGGTTAATCAAAGGGCTTTTATTTTGCTAAGATAAGGATGCCCAACAGGAATCTTTTAACAGTAGTTCTATCCTCACATAGTTCTCAGACACTTCCTCTAATAAATATTAAACAAGTAGTTAAAGAATCTTTATTTGAAGGAATTTCTACCTATGATGATCTAGCCTCTTCTTCATAGGCTAGCCAACAAGTCTTGCAATAGCCTGTTTCAGTGCTCTTTATCCAAATGTATCTTCCTCTGCTTCCCATTACATCTCCTTACGGATCAACTTCTCACTTGCCTTTTTTTGTGGGGAGGGATGGGTATTGGGGATTGAACTCAGGGGTACCACTGAGCCACATCCCCAGATCTATTTAGTATTTTATTTAGAGACAGGATCTCACCGAGTTGCTTAGTGCCTTGCTTTTGCTGAGGCTGGCTCTGAACCCACTGGGATTACAGACAAGTGCCACCTCCTAAGCTCACTTGCCATTTTTATGCATAATATTTGTATTGCTTTAACTGTCCTGTAACTTCAATCCTATTCATTCTTTTGTGGTGCTGGGGATTGAACCCAGGGCCTTGAGGCAAGCACTCTACCAACTGAGCTATATCCCCAGCCTCCATTCTTAAGAGGCTATTCAAGTTTCATCTTTTACCTGAAGCTTTCCTTTAGTTCTCTAATTTATACTGATTTGCCGTCTCTAAATGTTCATATACCTGTTATTGCTTGTACTCTTTATTTTTAGCACTGGACTATTTGTTGCCTGATTGTTTCACATGTATATGTTTTGTTCCCTGGAGCAAAATTTAATCTTTTTAAAGTCAGTGAGTGTGCCTTAGACGAATACTTCCATATGTGGAAGTGCATTTAGCACAATATTTATTACGAACCTCATTTTTCAGGTATCTATGAGGGATCTACATATTCAAAATTCTTTTATTTACCTATAGAACAAAAGCATTCACAATGTCCTTATTCTTTCTAAATATGCATATTTGCTTCTTTGTTTTATCAGTATCTCAATATATACTGTTATTTCACAACACTTTTCGTACAGGAAATTTTATCTGGGCCATAATGCTAGCTATGTGACTCTGTTATTGAACATTTACTGAAAATGCATTGTGCTTGGAAACACACACACACAAAAAGTATGAAGCATGCCTTTCATGTCATTTAAGGATCTAAGGAAAACATACAAGGGACTAGTAAACAGTGGAGATGATGAAAGTAAGGATTAAAGAGATCAAATGTGAAACAGAGTAGTTGAGACAGACTTCAGGAAGAAAAGAGTCCAAAGCATGGTCAGATTTAGGAAGAGAAGAAGGGACTGGGAGGCAATGAACACTGAAAGTTGGGAGAATGAAGAAGGTGGTTAGCCAGGGTTGAATTGGTAGCTTTGGTCAGATTACGGAGGTACTTGGATATCTCACACTATCTTTTGGATTTTTAGCTAGGAGGGGGAGTCACAAAGAATCTGTGACAGAATGAAAATATCCCCTTTCTAAGACAAAACAAAAAAATAAAACTCGCTCCTTGCATTTGATTTTTAGAAAACGTTTGTCATACAAATCTTTATGGATTAATGAACCATAATTGTTTAATCTGTTACAGTTAACAAGACTTCCAGATGAACTGTCTAATATAACTCAACTTAAAAAACTTGATATCTCAAATAATGCGATCAGAGAGATTCCAAAAAGTATAGGGGAATTGAGAAGTCTGGTTACTTTATACGCTAACAACAATCAAATAAGTTCTCTTCCACCATCTTTTTTATCGTTAAAAGATCTCAAGCAACTAAACATGAAAGGTAAGTGTCAGTCATAATCAATAAGTAGAATGTTAATGTCCAAGTTATACATTTTGCTAACAAAAAACAGAATGACAGGCAACATAACACATTAAGTACCCAGTGTAGGGAGATGGCTAGCCTCCCTACAGAAATTAGAGCAAAGTATAAGATTCAGTTCTTGTCTTCAATGAGCTTATAATCCAGTTGGGGAAGGTGAAGGCATTTTGCATTTCTGTTTTGTCTTCTCTGCTTATACCCAATCATTCAGTATTCTTTTTCTGAACCTGACTTCATCCCTCCCTCTACACACACACCTACACAACCCTTAGTTCATCACTTTCTCATCATTTCCTTCTCGGCTGGCTCCCTACTCTCACACCTGAACCCTATAATATAAAACAATACAATATAATAGTTTATATTATAAACTAAAATTAAGAAGACATAGAATAAAAAGCATATCATTCACTCTAAAGATATCAGAAAACATTTTCCAAAGTATAAGGAATAACTAGGTTGATAGTTTTCTTAACAATTTTTATTATGGAATATTTCAGACTTTCAGAAAATAATAAATTTTTATGTATATTCCCAGATACAGGATGCTAACATTTTGTAATATTAACAATGTAGAATATTTGAGACATTTTTATTGTTATGACATAGAGTTGACACTTTTTTGTGCTTCTTCTAAATGATAAGTAACTATTACACTGAAATTGGTGTGTATCTTTTTTCAGCCATATTTTTATACTAACATTTCTCCATCAAAAAAGTGGTACCTGGGGCTGGAGTGGTGGCTCAGTAGTAGAGCGCTTGCCTACCATGTGTGAGGCACTCTCAGCACTGCATTTAAATAAATAAAATAAATGTCATTGGCAACTAAAAAATATTTTTTTAAAAAGTGGTATCTTATTGAATTTTTAAATCTTATTAAATTGTTACTATATAGATCACTCTGTAACTTGAATTTTACATTCATTATATTCCTTTTTTTAATATTTATTGTTTTAGTTGTAGTTGGACATAATATGTTTATTTAATTAATTTATTTATTTTTATGTGGTGCTGAAGATCGAACCCACATTCTAGGCAAGTGCTCTATCGCTGAGCCACAACCCCAGCCCACATTCACTGTATTTTTAAAATGAATCTATGTTAACATATATAAGATTCCTTCTATGCTGTGTAGTATCCAATTGAATGTTTATATAACAATCCATTTTCATGTGGTAGACAACTAAGTTATTTCCAATTTGTTTGCTTTTACAAACATTCTTGTACATTTTCTCAGTATAAACTGCACCAGTGTCTCTAGGGCATAAAGTTATAACTAGAATGGCTGAATCTGAGCATATGTACATCTTCAACTTTATCAGATTTCAACAAATTGATTTCCATTGTGGTTGTACCAGCTAATCACGTGAACAGCTGAGTATGAGATTATGTCTTTTAGTTGGACATACATAGCTTTTACAAACAGTGCTCCACACCTTATTAAATTTAGAGGATTTCCATATGAAAAACAATGCTTGTATTTTTGCCGAACAGTACTAGTAGTAGAGTACCCTACTCGTGGTGCACCAATATGTAGTCCGATGTMATGAAACTGACATTGGTCTCCTGGAGACTCAGAACTTCCAGAGAAAGCTAGCTATCCAGCTATGCATTGGGGCATTTCATAACCATTTCGTTCACAGCAACTTGTAATGAGTCTCAATAATTAAATCCTGCATTGAGGTTTTCTTCATTTGTATTATGACAACATTTTATTGTATTTTAGGGAGTTTCTCTATTTTGTCCAAGTGTAGGACAAACTCCATTCACCTGCTATTTCGTCATGAGAAACAAACAAAMAAAAAAATACAAAAACAAAAATCCTCCAGAACTCTCTGGCCTATTGGAGAATTATCAATTGGAAGCACAGTACTCTGGAGGCTTTTTAGTTAGGACAGCATCAAGAGAGAATAGGAAGGAGTAGTGTTTCTTTTTCTGCAAGTTTGATCAGCTCTCAGTCTCCATCAGAATTAAAAAATATTAAAACCCATGTCTAGTCAAAGAAACTAAAATATCTGAAACAATTTTGAAAAACAAAATAAATGACTCACATAATGTGATTTCAAGACTTATGCAAAGCAATATTAGTGAATATGGTGTGGTATTGACATGACAATATTTGAGGTAAATATTGATGGAGCAGAACACAGTATAGAAAGAGACCCACACATATGTGTTGAATTGATTTTTTAAATGCATAAAAGTAATTCAATGGAGAAAGAACAATATTTTCCACAAATAGTGCTAAAAAATATGTGTCCAAAATCCTAAAGAAAATAAAACAAAAACCAACCACAAAAAAACTCATCCATACCATGCACCATAAAAAAAGATTAACTCAAAATGAATCACAGACCTAAATGTAAAATCTAAAACTACAAAACATCCAGATGAAAACAGAAGAAAAATCTTTGTAACCTTGGCAAAGCTTTTTTAGCTACAACATTAAAAACACAATCTACAGGGGCTGGGGTTATGGCTCAGTGGTAGAGTGCTCGCCTAGCACGTGCAAGGAACTGGGTTCGATCCTCAGCACCACATAAAAACAAATAAATAAAATAATGTTATATATTAAAAAAAACAAACAAACACAATCTACAGCAGGGGATGTAGCTGGGGATGTAGTTTAGTGGTAGAGCGTGTTTGCCTGGCCGTGAGTTCAATTGCCAGCAATGAAAAAAAAATCATCATATATAAATAAAAAGAATTCATATGTTGGATTTTAGTAAATTAGAAACCTCTGCTCTTCAAAAGGTATTATGAAGAGAATGAAAAGCTACAGATTGAAAGAAAATATTTGCTGAATAAATTTTTAAAAATAATTTGAGGGGCTGGGGATGTGGCTCAGCGGTAGCGCGCTCGCCTGGCATGCGTGCGGCCCGGGTTCGATCCTCAGCACCACATACCAACAAAGATGTTGTGTCCGCCGAGAACTAAGAAAAAATAAATGTTAAAATTCTCTCTCTCTCTCTGTCCCCCTCTCTCTCTCACTCTCTCTTTAAAAAAAAAATAATAATAATTTGAAATTAAGGCAAACAATTCAAAAAAATTGGTATAAATTTTGAACCAGTATATAATGAACAATATAGATGAATGGAAAATATACACAAGAAAATATTCTCAATTTCATTAGTGTTAGAGAAGTGCAAATTATAATGAAATATTGCTATTAGAATAGCTAAAAACAAAACTTGACAATACCAAGAGCTGTCAAAATATGGAGTATGCAACTGATATATTGATGGTAGGAATTCAAAATGATATAATCACTCCGAAAAACTGGTAGTTTCTTATAAAATTCTATGTACACATACCATATGACTCCCACATCTTGATTTCTAAATACCATTCTTCACTAAAAGGAAACAGGTTTTAAAATTTATACTTATAAATAATATATATTTAAAATATATAAATAATATAAAGGCAAACTTTATGTCTTCTAAGTGATTATGAATTCTGTGTTACTATAGTTTTACTTTTTTGTGAGTTTTATACTGAATTAAGGTGGTATTGAAAATTTTATTCAGGGAGGTGGAACTTAATACCTTTGCCCTGTTGAGGATGGTCAATCCTTAATGACTCATCTTCAAAAAGTAGAGTATGGAAAGGAAAAATAAATCATAACATTACATTGGAGAAACTCAGTACATACTATGTTAGCCAATGACAGAGGTTAGTGATGTCATGTGGAAATCAGGTACCCCTGATACAATGTGATGAGGTTACTTCACTTTTTTGGTATTCTTTCCCAAACCCCAAATGCTGTCTAGTCATGAGAAATTTATCAGAAAATTCTAACTATAGAACCTTCTACGAATTTCCTTACCAGTACTCCTCAAATCTGTTAAGTCATAAAAAAAAAATACTGAAAAACTGTCACAAAGCAGAGGGACTAGAAAGACATAAATATACGCAATGTGGTATCCTGGAATGGATTCTGGAAAAAAAGGCCATGGATGGAAAAACTAATATATCCAAAAAGTCTGGAATTTAATTAATAGTAATGCACCAGTATTGATTTTTTTAGATTGGATAGATGTAACATGGTAATACGAAATAATGGTAGAAGAAATTAAAATAATGAGGAGTATATAGGAACTCACTACTATATAGCTTTTCTGCAAATCTAAAATTATTCTAAATAAAAGGCTTATTTTAAAAATTACCAACATACTTACTCTATAAAGTCCTTTACTACCTTGGAAGGACTCCTGACCATTTTACCACCCACAGAAGAAAAAGGCATCACTGCTGTTTCTATACTCCCTCCTTTTCACTTGTAGCACATGGACATAAGTAAGAACTCACAACTTACAAGCACTGTGAGAGTCCTCTTAGACTTGCCAAGACAATAGATTCTTCACACATAGTTGTTATTTGTCTCCATAGTTTTAATTTACATAAAGGTATAATTAATTATACTTTTTATTTAACTAGGAAATAATCTGACAGATCTGCCCAGTGCCATTTGTAGTCTTCTTTCCCTGGAGGAGATAAATTTTGATGACAATCCTTTGATGAGACCTCCCATGGAAATCTGTAAAGGGAAACAGTTGCATACTATTGCAAGCTATCTACAGAGGGCAGATGAAAGAGATGGTAAGTGATGAGTGATTGATTTTCTTGTAAGTAATTTTCTGGTATTATCTATAAATTAAAAGATAGCCTACTTTGGAGACTATCAATCTGGCAAAGACATTAGCATATTTATCATTTTTTGAAGTTTAGGAGCTTATTTTAAAAATTTAGATTATTTAATCCAGGCCCATATACATCATGCCTTTGAACAGGGACATCCATATGGGGTAAAAATAACATAAGGTATAAAAATGTTGATTTTCTTTTTTTCCTTATATCCCTATTTTTTTCCTTAACTTCCCTCCCTGGGAGCAGTGTTAATTAGAAATGGTGATATTATTAAGGGCGTGGGCAGTTACTTATCCATTCACCTTAATGCCCTTCAGTAGGTTTTTCATTATGGTTGTGGCCATACTCAGAGAATCCATATATGGACTTCTTTATTTCTGATCTGTTTTTACCAGATAGTTGTTCTAAAAGACATATTTGCTTTGAAGGAAGTCCACAGATCATTTCCATTGCAGTCAGTTGGTGTGGGGTCCACTTGAACAGTCTTCATCCCCACTGTCCTGGAGCACTCCATTGTATTTTCTAATTATCTCCAAGAGTAAATCCATATCCTTTAAATCAGGAGCACTCAACCACTGAGCCACATCCCCAGCCCTATTTTGTATTTTATTTAGAGACAGGGTCTCACTGAGTTGCTTAGTGCCTCGCCATTCCTAAGGCTGGCTTGAACAACTCCTTCCCTCAGCCTCCCAAGCTGCTGGGATTACAGGCCTGCGCCACCAGGCCTGACTTAAACACCCTCTCATTGGACCAGATGGAGCTGGTTTCTCCAAATCCCTGGGAAGGAAGCTTCACTGTCCAGTTCTCTCCCTGTGGTTAGGTTCCTGACAGTTAGGCTTTTCCTTAGGACTCTCTGACTTTGTGACTCATTATCACCCCTTAGAGTCAATTCAGATTTTGGTCCTCCAGTTTACTGTTATAGACCAATAACTATTGATCCAGATTTGGGGAATTTGAATGTTTGACACTGTCCCCCAAATCATTTTGTCAGCTACCTTGCCTACATAATCAGGAGCCTGTACAAGCATACTTATCATCTAGAGAGATAGTTCCTAAAAAGGTATAATCCTTTTTATGCCACCTTTTACATTCTTGTACATGGCTTACTATTCAGAAGCTTTTGCAAGACTTAGACCTAATTGATGGAAGAAATCCAAGTGACAAAATTAAAAGTCACAGTAGCTGTCTTTAACTTGCTGTGCAGGGTGATTGTGCTAATTAATATTATAAAAAAGGAGTCATTTTATGCTGATGCTATTAAAATAAAATAAAGGCTCAGGGTTTCCAAGGATCCATAATGTATTTCTATTTTGTATCATACTTTAGAGAATGGCTTTCAAGTTACATGATTGAAATATTCCTTGCTAATATTCCATTTCTCAAATTCTTGAGGAAGAATCAATCTACTCTTTATGCAGATAATGCAATAGTCCATAAGCAATGGCTTTTGAGCAAAAGTCAGCAAAAAACAAGAGAACCCCCAACATTCATCTCCTTTCTCTGTTCTCAGAGAGCCTTCATACTGCAGGATTGGCACACAGCAAGGATAGGAAGTCAGAATGAGATATATATTTATTTTGCAATTAATCAATCATGGAGTCAGTTCCTTTTTGAAATTTTTACTCAGGGTACTGGAATTTTCTCTTATATTATTAGAATAAAACCTACCCTGAGGGATTAGTAGTTATATATATAATTTTTAAAAATACAGCATATTTGACATAATTATAGGGGCTGGGAAATCTCTCTCTCTCTTTTTTTTTTTTGTCCTGGGGATTGACCCAGAGTGCTGTACTACTGAGCTAGATCCTCTAGTCCTTTTTCCTTTTCTTTAATTTTAAATTTTTTTTTAGTTGTCAATTGATCCAGATTTGGGGAATTTGAATATTTGACACTGTCCCTCAAATCATTTTGTCATATACCTTGCCTACATAATCAGGAGCCTGTGCAAGCATACTCATCACTTTATTTATTTATATGTGGTGCTGAGAATCAAACCCAGTGCCTCACACATACTAGGCCAGTGCTCTACCACTGAACCATAAGCCCGGCCCCCATTTTCCTTTTTATTTATCTTTTCATTTATTTATTTTTGAAGCAGGTTTTCACTAAGTTGTCCATGGCTGGCCTCAAACTTGAGATCTTCCTGGCTCAGCCTCTTGAGTTCCTGGGATTATAGGTATATGCCACTGCACCTGGCTCTAGTTCTTGAAAGTTCTCATAGTACAGTGATCAACAAAAAAAATGAATCTAGTTCAAAGTAGTTGGAAACTTAAAAAAAAAACCAACAACTAAAAACACTAATATTTAAGCCAACATTTACTAAATAAGTGATGTGAATATGTTGATTTCCATTTCACAAATGCTTGGTAGGCTCTTTCATTTAATGGAATGAGGCTGAAAAAAATTAAAGTAACAATTATTTTAATTACTAATTAAGAACATTGTTTTACACACACACATAGGCACACATATATACATATTTGGTGTATGCATATATATGTATACATATATACATGTATATGTATATTCCATATTTATAGCAGATATGATCTTTGTTTCTCAAGATGTGTGGTTCATACATAAGCGCATAAAAAAGAGTCAGAATTGAAGCAAGGAGTCAAATTCATTTAAAATCCTGAAAGAATTAAAATACACAGAAGTCATTTGAAGTTGGGCTGAGGAGATAGTTCAGCTGGTAGAGTGCTTGCCTTGTATGCACGAGGCCCTCAGCTCAACCCCCAGTACCACCAAAAATAAAAAATAAAAAAAATCACTTTGAAGTTGCTTATAATATCCTTTAAACAAGCATTTTAAGTTGTAGGATTTTTCAGATTTTAGAATAGAATAGATGGTTCAAATTTCAGTACATTTTAGATCTGTATCTTAATTTTTTATTTTTGGATACATTTCATAGAAGCACAGAAAATAAGTAAATATAACTCAAAATAGATTGTATTTTTCCAAAGAAATAGCTTATTTTTCTTTTATATTCAAATATAGAGAAAATCTTAGAGAAGACATTCAAGATAGTTGCCAACAATATTACTGAAACAAGTTTTGAATTTTTGTGTCAAAAACTAAACCTGGTAAAATCAGAAAATAATATTCCTACAAAGAGGTATGTATGATTGACAACATTTGGTACATGTTTAGTCTCATATTCTGATTTATGTGATATTGATGTCACATGGTTTTGAAACTTTTATTATAACATAAACTCTAATTTGCTGTAAGAGATTGATTTTAGTTTATTATGCATTTGTGATCCATGTTGGGAGGCCTATAGTGTAATTAAGAACAAGGGTCCTGAGGACAAACTGCTTGGCTTTTAATCCCAGATGGCTTCGTGACTTTGGGCAAATCCTTTAATTTCTCTGTGCTACAGTTTCTAAACTGGTAAAATAGATGCAGTTACCTAAGAGCACAGTCATGAGGATTAAGTGAGTTCCAGCTATAAAGCATGTGGTATAGTATTGTACTAATTTATAGTGAAGAAAAATTGACAATTATTATTTTGAGATCTTGAGAATTAAATGTAAATTGTTGACTTATTATAAGAAAGCAAGACATAATATGGGGCTAACATTCACTTTCTAAATGCCAACTCTGTACTAAACCTTCATGTAGTCTGTCTTCCTCAATTAATTTTAGATTCACTTTCATCTGGTAAATTGATTTGAATAGCTGTCATTTAAAACAATGTTCTTAATTGGTAATTAAAATAATTGTTACTTTAATTTTTTTCAGCTTCATTCCATTAAATGAAAGAGCCTACCAAGCATTTGTGAAATGGAAAACAGAAAATAACTTATCGCTAACTACTGCTGCTTTAAGAGACCAACTAGTTCGGGGACTAAATATGATAGGAGCATATGACATTATGGACAAAATAACAGCTTTAAATCTTTTTACATGTGCAATTAAATTCTAATCAGTGGACCTATAATAAAAGTTGAAAACTGGATTTTTGAGCCATCTTACTTCATTTTATCATATTTGCGTGTCATGTTTCTTTTCATGCATTCTTAAGGTACTATAGTTTATGACTACCACTCTAATGTTGTCTTAATAAAATAATTACAGATAATGTTTTACATACTTGTTCTGTTGCCAGAGTGGCATATAATTCCATTAAAATTATTATATAATTGTTTTCATACAATGCAAGACTTATAGGTAATAAGGATATTAGTAACTTCCATTGAATTTAGAAAGCACAGAAGTTTCTTTTCAGATGCTGGCTTAAAAATGGCAATGAATACATTGCCCGCCCCTTTGCTTCACTAGGAATAAGATTGCTTCATTAAACAAAAGTTGGCTTTAGGGCCAAGAATCCTCTTTAGTTGAATGTGCAGGTGCAAGGCAACAGACGAAGACAGATGGAGTCTTGGTGTATCAAACACAGCTTGTGGTAGTGTGTCTGTCAGTTTTTTGTTGCTGTGAGGAATAAAAGTTTATTTGGGCTTATCATTGGAGAGGTCTCAGCCAATGCTCTGGGCCCAAGGAGAGGCAGAGCACCACACATCAGGAGGATGTGGTGGAGAAGAGCTGCTCAGTTCATGGCAACCAGGAAGCACTGTGAGAGAGTGAGAGAGCCGGAAAGGGACAGGAAGAAGCCAGGGACAGAATATATAATCCCAAAGGCGACTCTCCAGTGACTTACTTCCTCCAGCCATATTCCACCAGCCTGCAATTCCCACCCAATAATCCATTCAAATGGATTAATCCACTGATTAGGTGAAAAGTCTCATAATTTAATTATTTTTCTTCTAGCCTGAGGTTTTTTTTTTTTTGGGGGGGGGGGTAGTCACCTCATTTCCAAAACATAACAGTGTTTCAAGAGCTTCATAGGGAGATAAAACATTGATTATACTTTTCGGCCCCCAATTCAGCCACATCTGAAGCTAACSGTACTCTTTAAAAATAATTTTTATTGGTGCATTATAATAATAGTGGGATTAATTATTTTAGTTGCAGAGCAGGCTAAACAAATGTTAGCTACAGGGTAGCCTGAACACTCAACCCCCATCTGTCTAGTTCCTTATCGCTTGTTTGCCTCAAGTCTGAACACTCAGCCCCACTCAAGGCTGAACAGTCGACCCCCACCCGTCTGGTGCAACAGAAACCCACATCTAGCCCCTGCCTGGTCTGCCTGAAAGCAGAAGATGACACCCTTAGCAACTAATGTATAATCCAATCACTGTACGCCAAAAAAGCAGCTTGCAGACCCAGAGACCCCATTAGATTTTGGCTATAAAAACTCTCTCCTGCCGGGCCCCCTTCTCTTGGTCTCTCTCCTCTCTCCCCTCTCTCTCTCTCTCTTCTCTTTTCCTCCAGTCAATCAGACACTGCCGTAATAAAGATATCTTGGTTGCTCTTAGTGTTATGGTCACTTTCTTCTCAAATTATGCCATATTTGTACATGCATATAATATAATTTAAACAATGTAATTGCCAGTATCGTCCCTTCCCCAATCTTCTTGCTCTTGCTCTACTCTAGTGATCTCCCTTCTACTGTTATCATTATTATTATTATTATTATTGTTATTATTATTTTAATTAGTGCTATATATATATATATATATATATATATAATGATATATATATCATTTTGGTTTATTCATACACAGACATAGCATATTTTGGTACATTTCATTCCCCAGTACTTCCCCATGCCCTCTCCTCTTTTCTCCCTCTCAATCTGCTTCCTTTACTCTATTGGTCTCACTTCTATTTTCATGAACTTCCCCTCCCCCATTTTGAAAATTCCCCCCTTCCCTGCCCCACCTTCTTCTAGCTTCTGCATATAAGAAAACATTTAACTTTGATTTTTTTGAGTCTGGTTGATCACTTAGCATGATGTTCTCCAGTTCCATCCATTTACCAGCAGATGACATAATTACAGTCTTCTTAATGACTGAGTAAAACTCCATTGTGTATATGTAGCACAATTTCTACAAGAAATGTTAAAGCAAAAATGGCATTTTCAGTTATAAGTCTGGATCTACACAAACACATGAAGAATCCATTTGTCTGTTGAAAGGCACCTAGGTTGGTTCTGTAAGGGTCTGGTAAAACTTCGGAGGAAGAGACCACAAGAGACTGTCTTATGCAACAGCAGAAGGGAGGGTTTATTTGGAGACCAACATGCTGGGGCTCAGAGCTCACTATAGCAAAGAGAGATAGAGCCCTGAGAACAACTTAAGCGGAGTTTATATACTTTCCTTGGAGAGGGCAGGGAGAGAAGTTACATTTTGTAGTTTGGCAGTTGGGGACAGCTCATTCTGGGAACAAGACTAGCAAACAGTTCACAGTTGGGGACAGCACATTCTGGGAACAAGATTAGCAAACAGTTCTTAAGATTTCAAGAGTGTTTTGTTAAGCATATAGAAAAACAGAGTGACAAGTACCTATTTTATTAACCTTTCATTCTCCACTTCTTCTTCTGGCTACTTTTAATCATAAAAGTGATCATTGGGGGGTGTCACATTCTGTGTCTGCTAGTGGGGTACTTTGTTGTCTGATTACCATAAGTTTGACTTGTCCAATTTGGGATTGGAGAAAGGAAACTACACGATTGAGCAAACAGGGTCCTAGAGTTAGCAACAATATAAGATTTATTAGAGGACCGGCCAGGGCTGATAAAAGCGTAGTTAACCAGGGGGACTGTGTGAACCAAGACTCATATCACCCTTTTTGGGCCTCTCTCTCTCTCTGACGCACTTCAARGCATCTTCTTAGTTTACTCATAGATTCTTTTACAACTCCAGTATGGTCGGCATAAAAACAACATTCTTCCCTCAATGCAGCACAAAGGCCCTCTTCTCTCATGAAGAGGAGGTCCAACCCTTGCCCGTTCTGTAAAACAACTTCAGAGAGAGAGGGTAAAGATTCCTGCAAAGCTGTGATGGAGGTTTCTAATATCTTTAAGTTTTGGCCCATTGCTGTTTCTAATTGGGTCATTTGTCGTGTCCCACGGACCAGGGCAGTGGTCCCTGTGCCCACCCCTGCAGCAATTCCCATTCCTAATAAGATGGCTAAAGTGAGGGATACAGGTTTCCAGCAAAACCGGGTTGTATGCTCCCCTATTTGATCTTCAAATGAATCTGCATCATGATAGAGCACTCTGGAAAACATCTGCACCATTACACAATAATTTACAGAGTTGTTAAATATTTATCTAGGCTGAAATGCAAGGAGTCAACCCTGTGTCACATGCCCACAAAGTTCCATTATCAGGAGTAAGGAAACCCTGTGTGATGCCAATATTTTTTGTCTGGATACATAAGTGTTGTTTACTTTTAGGTGGAGACCCTATACATAAGCCTGCCCTGGTTACTTCTGGGAGGGTTAACTTAGGATTTTCACCCCAATTACAGGAGGAACTCTGCACTTTTACTGCATAAGTCCCATCAATTGCTATCCCTTCATAATAAGGAGGAGCAGAGGAGAGACAGAGCCAACAAGACTGAGTGAGRTCTGGTTGTGTGAAATTCAGCACMGCAAAGGCTCCTTCAATTAGCCTCCAGGGGAAGGGGTTGACTTCACTCTGGATTGGGGAAGTAAATGAAGGTGAAACTTGAGGAGTATGGGAAAGTGAAAGGTCCCTAGTAGGTTTAGGTTCGGGTGGTCTATGAGGCCCAATTACTGGCCTGATGGGATTGGGTCCTATGGCCAAGGGAATTTCTTTTCTCTCAAACCTGATAGTGAACCAAAGGCCAAAATCATATCCTGTGGTGTAAAATCGCATTCCATAGGTTTTTCYTGAAAGYCATGCCCAGATATTTTGGTTTCTTCCTTTGGAGGTGAAGGTTATATTTAGGGGGTTGCATAGGCTATTTGTGTCACATGGAGTAGGGTCAACTAGTCCAGAAGTCCCCGCTTGGGGGCTCCGTTTAAATGGGAGACATTGTTTGGGATTTAACTTAGTATTATTTTTTCCTACCAGAATCAGACTGTCAGGGGAGTTTGGGTTTCATTAGATAGCCCCTGTATTCTCACATCCCCATGACTTACAGAAGAAGTCGGCTTTTCCCCCACACAGCCGTGACTGCGGCTTCGATAGTCCGCTGGGCAAACATAATAATCCAGGCTAGCCAACTTACATCTGGCTTGTATGTCCCTACATCTATAATGTTTGTTTTCATTATCTATGGTATGGAGGGGATTTAATGGAATTTTAGTGGGATTTTTTTTATCAGGGATATCCCAATAGGAAAGACCTATAGCCAGCTGACAAATATCCGGGTGGAGAGATGCCATTAGGTCCCTAAGGGGGCTGTATGCGAGATAGACCATACTTCCTGTCCAGTAGGATTTATGATCAGCCATCGTTGTTGAATGGGCTGATGAGGGTTAGGACTATTGGTGGTCAAGGGGAGAATCTATAGCCCTATCCATATGGCGAATATGCAATTTGAGAGGGTTACCAGTCTTTTTTAATTTCCAGCCAGAGTCTGGATAAGGCGCAGGCTTGAGATGAGAGGCATGGATCCAGGAAGTGATTCCGTCTATCTTTACCGCTGTAGGTGTTATAAGTAGCATCTGGTATGGTCCTTTCCAGCGGGGGTTTTAGGGATGATACCTGATGTTGTCTTACGTAGATGAAGTCTCTTACTTGATATCGGTGTGGAGTCCCTTCATCCCCAGGTTGGTAGGCAGTGGCCAGCTGTTTCCACAGGTATCGCTGGGTTCTTTCAAGAGCTTTAAGTCTGTCAAGCAAGGGGGTGTGAAAGGAATCGTTAGGTCTTAGAGTTGGGGTCAGGTCTCTTACTGGAGGAGGGGCACCATAGAGAATTTCATAGGGGGTGAGGTTACACAAAGAAACAGAGGGAGTATTTCTTGCATGAAACAGTGCATAAGGCAGGAGCATAGTCTAATCTTTTATGTTGGTTTTTAGGCTTAATTTTGTCAAGGTCTCTTTAATGGTTT